TAGACAAGATATCAGACCAAGCTTTTGAAGGTTACTTCATCCATTCATTAGTTTATTTTTGAACATTTCTAATACATGTTTTATATTGACAATAAATCCATGGATTTCTACATGACAACATTTCTAATCTGTAAGCACGGAATTTGACATCAAATAAATTCGTGAACTTGTTTGAGGATTTACTCAAACAATTAGAACCTATATTCTAATTTTTGCTAAGTTGAACGTCAAAATACATGTTTTCCTTTCCTTTATATTGAACTTCTTTTTAATTCAAGAAGAGAACTTTGACAGGACTACAGTATTCGACAATGTGGCTTTTGTTCAAGAGATTCACCTCAAGAACAAAACCACATACATACAAAAACTTAAAATGTTTCTTGCAAGAATTTGTTGTGGGGTTGGCACTGTTGGCAGCGCTGAGTACTGTCAGATAATCGTTGAATTTAATCATTGCAAAACATAATCAAGATCTTGAAGAAATTCATCTTAACAAATTCTTGAAGAAATTGTCCATGTAAGACGGGAATAAAAATAATCATTGATTACTACTAGTCTCTTTTATAACTAAAATTATTGTTGTTGATTTTCCATTATTTTGACAGCCTAAATTTACTTGTATACCAATTTTCACTGTTATACATCAAATATTGTTCGAAATATTTAAAAAAAACTATTTTAGAAAGTAAATTTAAACACCCTGTATTTCGGAAGCCACGCATTTTTCGACCCAACTTTATATAGACTTTATACATTAATTTTAAAAGTTCTATCGAATCTTAAAGTTATGCAACAATAAACTGAAACACCCTGTATTATAGTTAGTCCTGAAAAACAATTCTACACATACCTCGGTGGAGTAGGTGATTATTGTACTGGCATTTTATAAAAATGCTGGGCCAATAATAGGCATGTTCTGGCAACGAATTTCTCACGGTTGGAAACAGGTAACCAATTCATTCTGGTACATGGATTTGAGTACTAGTTTTCTAACAATTAATTTCGTCAACTGAATCTGACTGTTGCAAACCATTTGAAAACCATTGATAGAACATGGATAATTGCATACTTCTCCACCAAGGTATGTAATGTACTATTTCATGCCAGTAAGCAAAGCAGCCATTTTTATCAGAAAAAATTGGAATGCAGTAGTGCCAAGTATTCTAATGAATACAGTATGGGGTACACAGTACTAATACGGAATCCAGATGAATATGTATTCATTTAATTCTTAACTTTGAAAGAACAAAAAATAATAATATAATCAAACATTCAACTAATAGAAATGTATGTATAATTCTCAATAATAACTAATTAATTAATGATCATGACCAAGTCATTTCATTTGACGAATATGCGTGGCGAATATGCACTAAAAATTAAAAATTCATTTTCGAATAGGTTGGAAATTATTGTCATACCGATATAATTGACAACCATTAAATGGATTATTCTATTACTAGCTGTTACCCCCGATTTCGCACGCGTTGAATTGTTTCTAACATATAACATTGTTATTGAGTATTGTTATAATTACATTGCATTAGTAAATTGACAGTCAACTTGCATATTGCGAAATTTCGTTATTTTATTAATGCAGCCACATACGAGGACGCTCCGATAAGTATTTAGCCTCACCACCCGATGCGCCACTAAACTAAAAAATTAATAATACAGGGTGTAAACGTTATGACGCAATGCCAGATGCAAATTACGACGAAACGCAGTGTAAATAAAGATGGAGTTTGTTATTTTTGGCTCTTAGGTACTATTTGATAATGTACTCGTAAAATACAAACAATTAAAAAAAATGGACTTCCTACTAACTGTCTCAGCGCTTCACCTGGTGTGTGAAAGTTTACTGAACGTTTAAAAAAAATCCACTTATAAATAGGGAACACAATTTTGAGCTGCAAGGTTTGAATTCTGACGAGCTTCACCGTAAACTAACAACATGTCGGCGAACTCTTGATTCGACAACATTGTAAAAAAAAGACGACGACGTACGCGAACAAAAACAAAACAGCACGCTCGATGCCCGATAACTAACCACTGTTACCGTTACTGACTACAAATTTTGGCTTAATTTAGAAAAACTTAACGCCATTTATTTGTTAATTACCCAATTTGAAAACTTTTTAGATTAGGTTATAAAAATTAGTAAATTCATGTTTGTATGTCAAATTGTTTCTCAGGTTTCGAGATTGATTTCACATATATCTTCCCTTAGTCCCTTAATCTAACCCTGTTGCAAAATCCGTTTTCAACTAACAATTTTCTCCGTAATCTATTTCACTACCAAATGTCATCTTCATAATTTTTCAGGGAAATATATAGAGTGTTCTATTTAAAAGAAACAAATCTATTCGATAGCACTTACATGAAAAACTTGATATACTTTTATATACAACTTTTTCTTCTGGAAGGCCACATAAAAAGCTCAGTGAATTTATACCCACGCGCGAGAAACATTACCTTCCTTCTGAGGCAGTCAGGTAATAAAAACACACCACATTCATGGTACGCATATATTCAATAAAAGGAAACCAATATTTGAATAATTGATTCAGAAATCCCTTCGGTTATCTGTCTCTACGCGAACATTACCGGTGAAATAGCTGACAGTCACCCTTCCAGGTCACTGAAATGCCTACTATCGATTCGACATTTAACGTTCTATTAGTGGATATGTTTGTGTATGTGACTATGTGTTTATTTGCGTTACTCACACCATCGAAGAGGGAATTTGGAGGGCTTCTATTGTCTTGTTTTCCCGTGTCAACAGTGAAGTGGAGCGGCTTCATCATTTTGATATTTCAAAGCATTTCTTACTTTACACGGCAGTATCATAAATCAATAGATTTCGGAATTGCTTTTACTTCGTATGCCGTTAGCGAGAAGGTGTACATGTACGGGCATTCGCGTGAACGGACGCGGACACCTGAAAATGTTCTTCTAACCGGACAAAAAACAAAATAAAGAAAAACGCCTTTTATTATTTTTTTCTGTTGAGACTGATGCTATTGCATTTCTCAATCGTGCCATGTGAAATCTTCGCTGGGACTTTGCTGATTAAGCCGGCGATTCACCGATTTCGGTACAAACGCAGCATTTCTGCTCGGTGTGAATTAGCAGCCAGGGTTAATTAGTGTCAAAAAACGCTTGACCGTTTCAATTTCGGAAACTCAAAAAATGTGGACAGCATTGTTAGAGGTGATGAATCGTGGATTTACTGTTATGAACCAGAAAATAAACGACAGTCAGCTGTTTGGGTGTTCCAAGGTAAAGAAAAGCCAACAAAAGTTATCCGTTCTCGAAGTGTTTCGAAAAAGATGGTCGCGACATTTGTGTCAAAATAATAATATAATAATAATAATATTTATTTACTCAATGTACAAAGATAACAAACAATATGAGTAGCTACAGTAGATTATGTATTTAGTTGATGTTCGTATTTACGAGTTTATGAATTTCAGTCCTAGATATAGAATGTAGCCACTTTTTTAAATTTCTTTTGAAACAATTTCCGAAACGTAAATCTTTTAAGTATTTAGGTATAATTTCATAAAATTTAGGCGCTAATTAGAGATATGATCGCTGCATTATAGATTTATGCGGTTGAGGAACTACTGTGCCACGAATTTTGTACCAGGTATAATGATTATGTTTAATTTTTTGGTCGGTGTTTACAAATTTATGGTAGTGAGTGATACTGTGTAAGAAATAAAGCTGTCTTATATCATACATTCGAACATCTGCGTATAATTTTTCAGTGGGATAAAGTTTCGGTTTTTTAAATATCATTTTTAGAATACTTTTTTGAAAAACATCTAAATTATAGATATGTGAGGAACATGCAGCTCCCCATGCTAATATACCATATGTGAGATGAGGCTCAATCAGTGCATGGTATAATATTCGAAGATATTTTTCTGTCAATATATTCCCAAGGTATTTAATTTTATAGAATACAAATCTAACTTTCTTTAAAATATAATTGACATGGATGTCCCATCGTAAGTGAGGATCCAAGACCACTCCAAGGTATTTTGTGTTGGGCACTCTATTAATTTGCATTTTTTGATCATTAATGTTGAAGGAGAAATTTGTATAATTTGGCAGATGTCTAGCATAAGATCCAAATGGTAAAAAATGTGTTTTAGAGTAGTTAATGCTTAATTTTCTAGTGTTAAACCACCGAATAATTTTGATAAAATCATTTTCAATTACATTTTTCAGATCAGACCAGTCAGTGCCTTCATATAATATTGCAGTATCATCTGCAAAACTAGTTATTTTGCCAACACAATTAATTTGGAAAATATCATTTAAATATATATTGAATAACAGCGGACCTAAGACAGTTCCTTGTGGGACACCACACTTAATATACATTTCTTTACTAAATGAACCCGATATCTGCACAGATTGTGGGCGATTTGACAAATAATTTTCGATCAGTGAGTACGCGTTTCCTCTGAAACCAATTCTCTCCAATGCTTCTAATAATAATTTGTGATTAACTGTATCGAAAGCTTTCTTTAAATCAACAAAAATGCAGATTGATGGGATTCTGTTATCAATATTTTGATGTATTTGATTTACAATTTTAGTTATTGCGTCCGATGTAGCCTTCCCTTCTGTAAATCCATATTGATTTTCATTTAAAATTTTGAATTTTGTGAGGTATCGAATCATTCTAGTAGATAAAACTTTTTCAAAAACCTTTGCTACACTGGATATTATTGATATTGGTCTATAGTTAACATCTGTTTTTGTTCCTGATTTATGTATCGGTATTATATTACCTTTTTTTAAAATTGAGGGATATATGCCAGATTCAAAGCATTTGTTGATTAGGTAAGTGAGTGGTTCTGTTATGTCCTCGGCTATAATTTTCAAATGCTCGCTTTTAATACCATCGAACCCAGGACTTTTCCGATTTTTTAAGGACATAACAGTGGTGTATAATTCACATTGTTCCACTTTATTCAAAATAAATGAGTTCAAAGTTCTTTTTGGAGGCTGAGTATTTTGTACATTTGCTTGTATATTACTTGCTAAATTTTCGCCTATGTCAGTAAAGAATTGTACAAATTCATCGCATATCTGTTGAGTATTTTTTAATACTGTTCCCGATGTTGTATTTAACTCAGTGACACACTCTTTAAATTTTGTTTTCCCAGTAATCTCATCAATAGTTGTCCAAAGCCGCTTAGGATCATTTAAGTTATTATTCAATTTATTTAGGTAATGTTTTCGTTTGGTTTGCCTTGCAGGCTCTATAAATTTATTTTTATATTGGTTGTAACAGTCGGTATTCTCTATAGTTGGCGTTAGTTTCATTACATTATATAGTCTTTCTTTTTCTATTGCCGATGTTATTAATCCTTTGGTAATCCAGGCATTTCTGCTTTTCTCTTTGTGACTAATTATTACTTTATTGGTACTAATATCTATTAGTTTTTTATTTTCTCTATGAACAGCCCCGTTGCTTTGTCTATATTATTTATAGAGTATAATTGTTTCCAGGATTCTTGTTTGACATTTGATATTAGTTTTGAATTGTCGACAAAAAAATTGTAATTTTCCTGGTTGTTATTAAAGCGGGTCATATTGCAACAATTCCTCTTAATGAGCCAAGAACTGTTACTGCGGATTGGTATACCATCATTTGTTTGCCAAAAGTCATCACCGAGCTTAGAAAAATCAACCCCGAAAGAAAAATTATCCTCCACCAAGACAATGCAAGATCGCACACAGCCCAAAAAACAAGGCAGTATTTAACGGAAGATAACTTGGAATTATTGGACCATCCTCCGTATATTCCCGATCTAAGTCCTAACGATTTCTTTACTTTCCCGAAAATTAAAAACAGACTGCGTGGTCAAAGGTTCCAGTCACCAGAAGAAGCAGTTGACGCATTCAAAAATGCCGTGTTGGATCTGCCAGTAAACGAGTGGAATTGTGTAATTGTGTATTATATATATATATATATACTTCGGAAAACAATAAAGTCATTTAAAACTACCTACCGTGTTGTTTTATTTCCATATGCAAAACTTAAAAGATATCCCTCGTACACGCTTTCGATTAAATTTCCATTAGGGATGTTCCGATTCACGAAAAGTATCGATTGGTATCGTTTTAGGAAGTATCGATACTCTAAAATATGGGAATAAAAATCTCAATACCACAAGTAACGAAACCTTTCGATACGGAACATACGCTGCCGAAAATCGAGGCTGGTTTATCTACAACCGTCAAAATAATGTTTACTTTCTTCAACTGCATGGCTAGATCATCAAATACGTTCTCTAATGAACATAGCTAAGAAACCTCACAATTCCATAAATTACATCTCCCACCTAGATTCGATTTTACAATATAGATCCACAAATCACTTCACAATCACTATCACAATAGTGCTTTGTTTTAAACTATAACCTACAATTAATCAATACTAAAAACACTGTGTGTCATGTGTGTGTAATTCCCCGAAACCGAATCCAACAGGGTTGCCAGGTCGTTTAGCCAGTCCAAATTTTAAAAATCCCCTAAATTCAGAACCTTAAAAAAATCCCCAAAAAGTTCTATTTATTTTTTATTATCATCAGTTCCGAGAAAAAAGTTTGCATCGAAGATGTATAACAAAAGAGTCAAGTCAGCCAATCAGGCCCAGATGATTAGTCCATATTTCCACCCATTTAGCAACTTTACGATCTCGAAATGTTTTCCCTATCCTTCCGACAAACCAACCATCTGACAACGTTGCTATGATTAACCTCGCCGCGCCCCAGCCACCCATTATCGTCGGTCATGACTCGATTCAAACATCGATCAGACCGGGGAGCATTTTAACACTATGGTATAGGATTCGGCACCAGCCTTAATTTTATTGGTCGATTTCAATTTATTTTACCAATAACAAGCTGGGTGCCGAAATCACTACCGGAATGTTAAACAGTGCTGAAAACAGTGTCAGAATGTTATCAATAAACTGCTTCTACTAATATATATATATAAATATAACTTGAGACGTGGTCATTGTCGTCTAGACCAGTTAGGTGAAAAATTAAAGCTTCCGCCTTGTGTTGGCTACTTCGACAAAATTTAAGCAAGGAGGACTCTTTATACTTTTTTTATTCTCTCTAGCTTTCAATGGTCTTTGCCATCATCATCAGGAGAGTAGTATGTGAGGATGTTGCTAATTGTTGTTTACGTTAAGGATGAGGGAAACACCCAGTAACATACCCACCATTTTGTGCAATCATCAAGCGGCTTCACGATGTAATGTTTAACTTTCAATTTCTAAAAAATTTTTTTATCTGTTTTTAACTTGTTCTTGTCATACAGCTGTGTGTATTTTATATAATTTTGACTATTGTACCATTTATCCAGCTTTCACCATGTTAATGGGTGTTTCCCTCATCCTTAACGTAAACAACAATTAGCAACATCCTCACATACTTGTACTACTCTCCTGATGATGATGGCAAAGGCCATTGAAAGCTAGAGAGAATAAAAAAAGTATAAAGAGTCCTCCTTGCTTAAATTTTGTCGAAGTACCCAAAAAAAGGCGGAAGCTTTAATTTTTCACCAATATAAATATATATAAATTTTTCATGTAATTTTTCTTATTGCTAAACCAAATTATTAATTTTAAAATCATTAAATATCGTAATAGGAAACAACGTGCGTTGATTATTATCTTACGTATTTTTAGCGGAAGGTAAGTAAATTTAAATTTAAATTGATAACATTCTGACCCCATGCTCCGCACTGTTTAACATTCCGGTAGTGATTTCGGCACCCGGCTTGTTATTGGTTGAATAAGTTGAAATTGACCAATAAAATTAAGGCTGGTGCCGAATCCTATACCATAGTGTTAAAATGCGACCGGGGAGCAGGTTAGATCACTTACATGAGACGTGTGTATGTGAAATATTTCTCTTCATTCCAAGATTTAAAGGCAAATATGCGGGTAAATCTGTGAGTGAAATATGGCTGAATTGAAAGTGTCTAAGTATAGTAGCGCCAAAAAAATTGGAATATACCTTCCTCTACCCATCACACCTCTCAACCGTCCATTCTCAACCCCTACAATTTTTATTTGACAATGATCAAGAGCACCCCAAGGTTTAAGCGTATTTATCTGTTTTTCGTTGTTTGCCCCCAGCACCGCCGCCACTGGACCGATTCTCAAAAACCACTAAGCTTCTTCACCCTAACCGACAAACCGACAAAAATGAGGGATATGATTTTTCTTGATGTGCGTGTCGAAAAAATAATATCTCATTCCCAAAATCTGATCGCGGTTATATACTAAGTGACATATAAATCCGAACACCCAGTTTAAATGGTTTTATTTTAATAAAAGTTGGTGAATGTATTTATCTTACTGTAAATAACAAGTGAAAAAATTTTCAGCCTTATCAGTTGAACATTCCGGTTTTTATACTGCTTCTTTTTAATTCACTAACGCTCTAAAAATGAATATTTCAGCCGCAGTAAAGAATCAACGTTGGCGGATTTTGGTTCTTGACATCCTTTACGATCGGTTACGATGCCTAGAGTACGGAGACCTGTACGATTTCGTCAGCTTAGTTAGTTTGATAGGGGCCGTATAGTGGGACTTCGGGAAGCTGGACTTTCTTTTCGGGCAATTGCAGTTAGAGTGCAAAGAAGTGTAGACACTGTGGTTAGGTGTTGTCAGGCATGGCTTCGAGAAGGCCGTACGCAAAGAGCACTGGACGCCGCCGTAGAACAACAGACCGTGAAGATCGCCGCCTAAGATTATTGGCCTTAAGGGACCGTTTCTCCACTAGCAGGTCCATTGCAAATGAATGGTTTGCAGAACACGGAAGACCTATTGGCATGCGAAGTGTTTACCGACGAATGAGAAGTTTTGGCTTGTTTTCATACCGGCCACCCCTTTAACTCGAGAACACCGACGTAATCGCCTTGAGTGGTGCAGACAACGGTCACTCTGGGATCAGGAATGGAACAGTATTGTCTTTAGTGACGAGTCTCGATTTTGTTTAGGCATGCACGATGGTCGTGCCAGGGTTAGAGGGCGACGTGGTGAAAGGGGGAATCCACAGTTTTTCGTTGAAAGACATGTTCATCACACTGTTGGAGTTATGGTTTGGGGTGCTATAGCTTATGGTTCCAGGTCACCTTTAATCTTCATCAGAGGTAACATGAACGCGCAGCGTTATATCCACAAAGTTCTAGAACATCATCTTTTACCCTATGTTGACACCCTGGCAGATCCATCTTTCCAATAAGATAATGCCCGACCACATGTTGCAAGAGTCACAATAGACTTCTTTCAACATAATGATGTCACATTGTTACCATGGCCACAAGATCTCTCGACTTATCCCCAATTGAGCACGTGTGGGATATGGTGGGTAGGAGATTGCTCAATTTGCAACGTCCTCCTCAGACTCTAGAAGCACTTCGAGAGGAGTTGGTGGTTGCCTGGAATGAGATACCACAGGAGGACATTGACCACCTGATCAGAAGCATGCCTAGGCGCGTTGGAGAATGCGTAGCACATCAGGGTGCATCCACACATTATTAAAGGTCAAAGGGCTTTAAAGCAGTGCATTTTGAAATTTTTATCATTTACTTATTATGCTTCATTAAGTACTTATACAAAATTTTATTAAAATAAAACAATTTAAACTGGGTGTTCGGATTTATGTGTCACTTAGTATAATATATTCAAAATCACGAAAGATGACTATTACGTCAAACCATGAATTGTACTGAAGTAATCAATGGACGTACATCCATGATAAATCACGATTTCAGGAACATAATGACAACAAATTCATATTATGATTTTGCGAAGTTAGGTTATTTCACTGATTATTTTTATTTTCATTTTATTTCATGGTTTTGAGAGATAATTTTAGTGGAGTTGTTTTGAAAAAAATAGTTATGAGTAGAATACCTGAAGACAGGAACACCAAAGATCAAAGTATTATTCGAGAACAACATAACCTGCTTTAACATAACCTAACAATTCATCTTCCAAATATGATCGATCATGTAACATGAAAACATCGTCTATCTTTGTCGGATACATGCAAATTAGCAATACAGTTTGTTTAAACAATAAAATCCTGTTTGTCTCTGTCTAACATATCAGAAACTTTATTAACTATATTGACAAATCGCTGTCGTTGTTTTTGCTACAGACTAAAATGTAGTCATCTTTCGTGATTTCGACTATACTTCCTCTCCGATGACGTAGGAAGTAAAAGGATTGCAGTCGTAGGTTAACATTATTCCGCATGAATACACGTATTCTGGGTGTATTTTTTGAGTCGACGGTTGCATGCAACGTGGCGGCTGTTTTGCGCATTTATCGATTAAAAACGGGGTATAAATATGGATATAGTGAAAGTAAGAAAGGGGATCGCAGACACGTATACACAGGTGACTGCGAACATGTGATTAGATTATAGCCGGTGATATGCCCATACATACAGGGTGGTTCAAGCTCGAGGAAATTAACAAAATCAATATGTAGTGAAATTATTTCGGCTGATGAGCGTGTTGATTTCTCTTTTAGAGGATTGTTTCCTGATAATTGACAAGTGGTGAACTGCAAAAGAGTGAGGTCGGGGTAGTAAAGCACGTTCAAGAGAATGCAGAAACTAAAACACTACAATAACAGCAGGAAAATACGAAAATGGTGAAAATAAGAAGGGGGATCGCACACACGAATGCACAGGTAGCTGTACAGATCTAGTTCTAAGAAGCCTTTGCATAATTTTGAATGTCGACCTTTTAGTTCTCTACAGTACAAATTGAATCTTTTAATTTTCGTCTAATTTTTTTTCCAAATTTCGTTAATTTTTTTTCTATAATCCACATGCTAAGAATTTAAATGATTTTTTGAATAACGTTTTGTGTGGCCTTTGGATATTTGATGAGCCTGTTCGAAATTTTGTGTCATGCTCGTGCATATGTGAATTTTACTCATTACAATGTTCAAGGTGTAAAAAAATAAGTATCAAGTATTCCAGATGCCTTATACAAGGTGTCCCAGAAGTCGACGTCAAGCCGAGACCGGGTGATAGGCAAAGTCATGATAGCTATCAGAAAAATATTTAAAAAAATTTTATGTATGTGTTTTGAAAATTATAGGTCTCTGAAAAAAAATATAGAAATTTCACACCACGACAGTCTGTCAACTCCTGTTACTTCAAATATTAACTTTTTTGGGATTTTTTTTTACAATGTAATGATGAATAATGCATCTTTAAACTGGTGTCTCAACCCTACTGCCAACTTTTCTCGTTCAGGAAAAATTGCCACTTATTTCCCAACCAAGTATTCCAAAGTAAAACTTTGCTCAACTTTAACTGGCTGTACTGGAAAAAAATGTACTACGAGAGTTTGGCAAGTAACCCTAAAAGTTGGCGCATTTAATAAGGATTCCAAAATGGTATAACACTTAGAAGATTACTCGTTAACTTATGCACAATTTTTATTTGAAGAAAAACTGATGAACATTTTTCAAAATTTCCTAATTAAATAGCGATTATGAAAACGCACAAGGACCCTTAAGGATAACTGTTTGTACAATAGTGGGCGTCAAAATGCTGCTGATGATGATTTACCTTTACAGCAAATGCTCAAACTGTTTTCCTTCAGCCGCAATACACGCTCGAAATATTCTTAAAAAAGATCGGGTTATTAAACGAGCGAATCCACGGTTATTAACAAACTCAACTGCTTCCAATAGTCTTTGCCGTTGCTCAGCTACATTTTGAATCGGCTTGAAATACACTTTTTCTTTTACAGTTCCCCAGTAAAAAAAATCTAACGGATTCAAATCTGGTGACCGGGCTGGCCACGGTATTGTACCAGACCGCCCTATCCATCTGCCTGGAAAGTTTTGATCGAGATACTCTCTGAGAGTGCATAGTGCGCTGGGCAGCCATCATGCTGAAACCACATGTCCCTGTAAATACTCAGTGGCACGTCCTCCAATAAATTTTCTAAATGATTTTGCAAAAAACCTAAATAAACCTCAGCAGTCAAAGTCTCTGGGAACTCAAACGGACCGATGATTTTACCATTTAAAATTCCTGTCCAATGGTTTATCTTGAAGCCATATTGAGATTTATCTTCTCTCATCAAATGTGGGTTTGCTACGTGCCACTCGTGTAAGTTATGCAGGTTCATGTACCCATCTTTCTTAAAAGTGGTCTCATCTGACCATAAAATTTTTTCAAAGAACCGTGGATCTTCCCTGTGTCTTTCTAACATTGTGCGACAAAAAGCAACCCGGGGCTCATAATCCCGGGGCAGGAGAGATTGAACACGCTGTATGTGGTATGGATGAATCACATCACCAACTTTTAAGGTTACTTGCCAAACTCTCGTAGTACATTTTTTTCAGTACAGCCAGTTAAAGTTGAGCAAAGTTTTACTTTGGAATACTTGGTTGGGAAATAAGTGGCAATTTTTCCTGAACGAGAAAAGTTGGCAGTAAGGTTGAGACACCAGTTTGAAGATGCATTATTCATCATTAATTTCTATATCTTTTTCAAAGACCTATAATTTTCAAAACACATACATAAAATTTTTTTAAATATTTTTCTGATAGCTGTTATGACTTTGCCTATCACCCGGTTTCGGCTTGACGTCGACTTCTGGGACATCCTGTATACATTGTTTGATGGATACAATCTTGGTTCATCGAAAATGGCTTTTGAAACAGTCTTTTGTGATCAGAAATATATCTTTTGCAGGTGGCACCCCAGGCAGTGATGCATTATTTGATTTTCAACTAAGGCATATTACAGTATTCGAAGAAGAATGTTGAGTATATATGTATACAGGGTATTCCTTAATGATATGCGAAAATTTAAGGGTTTGAATCTACATGAAAAATTAATGTTAGTTCGCTCTATAATCTATGGTCCAAAAATGTTTCCTTACAAAAACTCGGGGTGTTGAAGTTTTAGGACAAAAATGGAAATTAATTAATATTTTCAGAACCGCTTCAGATATTTCACTGATGTTTAGTACGTAGTGAAAGCTAATAAAGTTGCATATTTTTCAATGCTTTAACAGTCGCGTGCGTAAGGGTATCGACTTCGATATTTTTTAAGAAAAAAATGGTACGCCAATAGTTTTTTCCTAAATAAAAATTATTTCTTAATTCCCAATTCAATTTAAAACAAACGATCTCTCTTGAATTGTTTTTCTTCGATGTGCCATTTTTGAGTAAAAAAATAAAAATCCTTGTATTGTCCGAGAAAATTAATGGACAATAGAAGGGTTTTTATTTTTTTAATCAAAAATGGCGCATTGAAAGAAAACAATTCAAGAGAAATCATTTGTTTTAAATTGAACGGGAAATTCAAAAATCATTTTTATTTGTCAAAAAACCGTTGGCGTACCATTTTGTTCTTAAATAATATCGAAGTCAATACCCGTACGCACGTCACTGTTAAAGCTAAAAATTATTTTTGCATTGAAAAATATGCAACTTTATTAACTTTCACTACGAACTAAATATCAGTGAAATGTCTGAAGCGGTTCTGAAAATATTAATTTTTTTCCTAAAACTTCAACACCCCGAGTTTTTGTAAGTATACATTTTTGGACCATAGTTTATAACCAAACTAACATTAATTTTTCATATAGATTCACACCCTTAAATATTCGCATATCAGTAATGTCTGTTTTCAAGATACGTGATACCCGTGCCGATGTCTTAGGAACAATAAAAAAGCACACATCACGCGTTGCTTAAAAATGGTTATTGTTATATCTAACTTCTCATTTATAATCCAGGGGATCATATTCCTCCCTTACCCCCCTAATTTGCACTCATGCTGATGAATGTTCAGGAAAAACGACTGATCTCTTCAACAGTACCACATTTAGTGGTGCAATGAATTACAGAATGGAGCATTATAATTTATGCCCTCAAGCAGTTTAGAAGACTAGCATTTCCAGAGACAAACAAGCACAGGAGCTCTGCACAGCCTTCAAGATCTAGCTTTTGTAAAAGACGTGACTCTATTACAGATCCCTGAGCATCTTGCCGTACCAGATAACATGAACCTGAACTACTACAACTAGCAGACACAAGGTTTCATGCTTCCATGCAATGATGAAGCAGAATAACTGAGACACCGAGAGAAAGTGGGCGTGGCACTCTTATCCCTCGCGGAACTGTATCTCTGAACATTGATAGAAGAATCGCACATCCAGTCATTCTCAGAATAAAATTCGTCCACCAGTCTCATCTCTAATGTTGAAGTTAACTTTGTGCTGTAATGTCTAATGATATGAAGAACCTATAGGAGCATATTGTTTTGTCAAAAATACATAAATACTTTTTTAATATATATATATAGCGAAGTCTGAATACAGGGGCACCGTGGCTGTTATAAGAAGCTCAAAAACAACTTCTTAATCTCATTTTTCAACTGTCTAAGGTTAGTGGAAGGTTATTCGACAATCTAACACCATAGGAACAAAGGAGCGGTCGTACCTTCCAGTTTTAGATGTTTTAGATAAATGTCGACGTCTTGAATCATTCACCAG